GGTAGAAAAGGCAAATGCAATGCTCAAAACACTGTATTCTGCAGTATGTCATTAAGAGGCGCAGGTTCATGGAGAATACCATATGTACACATATATATATATATAAATGTACGCTCGGAATTTTAGTAGATGTTCATACTCAAAGACTTTACTTGGCCTTTAAAATGAACATTTGAATACGACTTAATTCCCGTATATGCTTCAACTTTAAATACAAGTTTATGTGGAAACATTGAACATAACAGTTAGCAAGGAACTTATTCCCTAATATGCTTTAAATTGACGGAGCTTGAATGGCTTTTGTGAGGAAAACAGTTCAATGTTAATTTAGGTGTTCCATTAGAAGTTCAGTATGAGCTTGAATGGATTAAGGATAGCAGTTCATTTGTTAATTGATATCTTAAGAACTTGGACACAAACTTCAATGAAGTTGTATAAGGAAAACAGGTCAGCTAGAGTTTGTATGTTAAATAAGAGCCTGAATATAAATCCGTGTCCAAAGGTGACTTGAGTAAAAAAACATTTCAAACAATACATTCGAATATAATATATTCGAATGTATAATATGATAAGGACAGATTTCAATCACAATGTCTGTATTGAACAATCCATCTGAAGGTATACAGATTGTTGCAATGCATGTAATGTGATGTAAGATAATGTCCGCAACGTACCATAATGTACGGTAAGGTAATCTAGTGTAATGTAATGTAATGTAATGTAATGTGTGTGATGCATTGCAATGCACTGCTTGGAGTGGTACGGTATGATTGTTCTGTATGCGTGCGCACACATGCACACACGCACACACGCACACACGCACACACGCACACACGCACACACGCACACAAGCACACAGCCACGCAAGCGCGCACCCAGGCTCAACGCACCCACGCACGCATGCACGCACGCACGCACGCATGCACGCATACAGAATGCACGAATGCATGCATGCACGTACATTCACGCACGCGCGTTCGAGGCAGCACACAAACCTGCTCACGCACACTCAATCACAAACACACCACCCAAAGCCCCACAGCAACCTTCACCCCCACCGATGAGCGTCACCACAACAGCAGCAGTCGCAGCAACAACTGCCGTGCGAGCCTGAAATGTCCAGGAATTGATCAGGGGCGCCACCCTGCTTGCTTTCTCTGTCACCGCAGCCGCGCGGAGCATGGTTACGAAGAAAAGCAGAGTGGGCGGGTACAGCCAGCCGATCCAAAGAGCAACTTGGGTCGTGTCCTGACAAACACCGGCAACTCTGGCATCCTGGCGCAAAAGGTCCTGGAATCCTTGCAAGGGTCACGAAGACACACTTTGCTGTCTTTCACGCCGGGCATGCTGCGCCAGCCCAATTCCGCAGTTTGTTAGGGGTATCGTTTTTGGACTAGTTCAATGACAAACCAAAGGGAAACCACCCCAGGTCTCTTTGGATGTTTCATGCTTGAAGAACCTTTCTATGGCAAGGCATCAAGAAAGATCTGCCTTCTCCATTCCAGGAGGTGCGCTACTTGCTCGAGCGGAAACGTGAAATCCTGCTTGCGGTAAGCCCTCTGGCAAACAATTCTTAGATTAGCGCTGGCGCCGCCTAAAGTTTGTGCCACCCTTCACCCAATCCAAGGTGTCTGGTCAACGCCGAGATTTTTGATGTGTCACTTTTTGAGGGCACCCCTTTTTTCAGTGCCCCTTGCCAAGGAAAGGGAACGGGACATTTTCTGTGCCAGGGAAGGGAAAGGGCACTCCCCTTTCCCTTGTTGCCAAAAGGAAAACCACCCTCTCTTCTTTTTGTTTTTTTGGGGGGGGGTTTGAGGGGGGTTGAGGGTAGTGAAGGGGGTGTGGGGGGGTTGAGGGTCCCCAAACACGGCTCCTGGAGGCGCGAAATAGCGACACTGGTTCAGTTCATGGAGGATGTACCATGCCAACGAAACAACCAGAGGTCCTAGGCAAGAAAGAGAGCACCAAACATAGGTGGCTTTTTGGAAAATCGACGGCCCTGGTAAATGGAACAAAACCCATCTAAACCAGTGCCATCTATTGTTAACCAGGCTCACCCAAAAAGGACACCTATGGCACCAAACCTGAAGGGGTTTTAAAATAAAAGTTCATGGATGTCGAACGCAATGCTGTAATCATTGTAGTTTATTGATGGAGAACAGGAAATGGTGACATAATCATTTGAAAGGCTGGGGCTGGGCTTCAACAATACAACTTATACAATGAAACCTTCGGTCGAAGACGTACAGTTGCCCATTTCCTTTCCCGTACAGCCAGTCACCACTTTGGATGCGTACGTACCTGGAGATTGCCACATCTAGATTTCCTGCGACTGTAACTCCTTTATGCAGGAAGCTTTACAATCGTCTGAAGTCCCAAGGAAATTACGACCATATCTGCCAAACCTCAAGTGAGGTGCTTTGATCATGGACGTTGCTTTGCCCCGAACTCGCTTTGGTACACTTCGAATAGGTCCTGGATGACGTCTGGCTGCCTCAGGATTTGCTCAGCTAACAGCAGGATGGTGGTGGCGCTGCTGGCCCCGAGGATGAACAAAGCACCGCTGGTCTGGTGGGAGACTTGCCTTCGAGCGACTGGACAGTCCAGTGAGGGGCGAAATCAGTGGCGTACTCCTCTCATGCAATTTATGCCCTACCTGGAGCTTCGCCAACCTGAGACAACTTCTACAGCCCACAGGTTCAAGAACAACTCGCCAGCGAAAAATGCTCACCCGCCTCTTTCCGAAAGAAGAAGCCCCGTCAAAACATGTTTTCACCGCTTTCCCAGGCGACTGTCGAAAGGGGCCACGTATTGATCTGCGCCAACTATCAGTTGAGGGAGCCCGGAATACAGGAACTTCCATCGAACGTTGTTATCCCGGGATTTCAGGTGAGCGGACGAGAAGTCCAACAAAACAAGAGCAGAACAAAGGGCATCGCGAGACAAATCATCAACCGAGTGTTTCGAACATGCTGCCAAAGCGATAAGGACGACTGGTTTGTTGGAAGGGTACACATGTCTCGCTTGCACAAGGGAAACTCAACTTCGAAAATTGCCTCCCCCCCCCCTCCGGCCAAGACTTAAAACATATCCTCCACCAAAACATTTTAAGTCTTTCCCCCCCTCCAAGTTGTGCGTTTTCGGTTTTCGGTCTTTCTCTAAGCGCAAAACACATCCTCCACAAACGTCTGCACCCTCCGCTCTGAAACCCGGCCTTAGCATAGCCTGCACCAGGTTCCACTCCTGGACGGCCTCCGAAGCCCGGGTACCCTTCCCTAGCTCCGCACCATCCCAAGGCTACATTGGGCAAAGACCTCCAAAGCTTTCTGGGGAAGAACACGGAGCTGAAAGCGCTCCCGAGCCCGACATGACAAAAGATTGATCAAGAAAAAAATGTCTCTCACAAATTGCTTCTCCCTTTAAAATTTTGGTAAATGAGTACGTGTCAAAAGAGGGAGATACCCAAATGATAGACTTTCCAGTTGGTGTTCCTTTCAACTCACCCTTACATCCGCAGTTTGTCGCTGCCAATGCTCAATCCGATCTCAGCGCGTCGTTGCTCCAACAGGCCTGATTCAACGCTCAGGTTGGAAAACCCAATCGGTTGCATTTGCTTTGAAGTCCCTTGTTTCCAGAAAGGGGGAAATCACTTGGGCTAGATCCCCGATGAATTCAAAAGCCAAAGACTGGTTCTTCAAGCCTTGTCCAAAACTGAGCGGTTTACAGATGCAAACTACTAGTACAACAAACCTGACTATTCCGAGTACTTCTGCATGCTTGGCGAACCAACATATCCTCAGTCCGACTGCGACGTTGTGGACATGTTATTGATCGGCTCCTTGGTTCAAGCAACGAAACTGCCTCCATCCTTTTGTGGGATGTCAAGCCACTAGCGATTCAAATGCTTGCTGCCGTTTTGGGAATCCGACTGCAGCTGCAGGGCCAGACGTGTTTGCCAAGACCCTCTTTGAGTGATACATGCTGGAAGAATGACGAATGTTTTTAGCGTTCTTTGTACTGAGGACACTCGGCAACCTTGCCAGCTATTGCACATGAATAGCATGAATAAAAGGACACAAATGTCAGTGTCCTTTGAAGGAGAAGTCTCCAGAAAACGGTTTGGATGCGGCTGTTGTGGATCCACACCTGTATTAAAAGAGTACTACAAGCCTAAAAACGGACTACCAGGGGGGAATAACGGCTGACATCCACGTAAAAACTTCATCCACAAAAAATAAGTCGCAAAGCTTGGTTTTGAAGATAATCAGATCCGAACGCCGGGAATGTCCGCGAAGGTCCGGCCGTCTCCATGTCCATGTCCTTGAAGAAGTTCAAGCCAAAGCTGTCGATGGCCAACTCCAGTCCGCTGCAAATGTGTAGCCTCCAGCCGCGGGAGGGAGGCTCGACGTTCGCTCAGGGAAGGACCCGGATTCTGGGGGTTGGTTGAATGAACCGGCTTGGGAAATTCCTGAATAAAGGAAATTCGGAAACCATGTGCAGGCTGGCGCTTCTCGTCATTCCATGTCTCATTCCGAATGTCTCGCATGTAAGCTTGGAATGGGGACTTCTTTCTCCGGAGCCCCGGGCGCAGAAGCTTCCTCCTTCATTTGTGGTATAGAAGAAAAAGAAACGGGTCCTTTCTGCACCCCGTTTTGAAAAAAAAAAGAACTGCGCCCCAAAGAACCAGCCATTTATTTATGTGTCTATTTTTTTAGAGCAAGCCAAGAGCAGTGAAGTTAAACAAACATGCTTCCCCAAAATCAATCCAGGGAAAGTCGTAAACCACCTCACATAGGCTCGCGTCTGAAAGAAACATGGTGCCGATCTTGAATGAAAGAGCCATTTCAACCCCTCGCTTGGCTTCACTCTGAAGCTCAAGTTTGAACCCTTGAGAATTCTGCCCGGGGGTCCAAACCCATGGATAGATGCCAACGTCGATCGGCTGGCCCAATGAAATGGATCTGAGTGGCATTCAAATGGTGTCTGAAAGCTAAACGGGGCTGTCTTGTGAAACGCGAGAAGATATTGCAGGGAGAGCTAACATTTGTGCACCAGCTAGTCAGATCCTCGAAAGGTGGGACATGAAGAAGAACACATGCCAGAGGAATGCTAATGTCAACGGACTCAGCCTGGTGGATGATGCTCTGAAGTGAAGTTTCTCCGAATGAGATTCGTTTAGGGTTGGTTTAGGGATATATTTTGGGGGAGCTTAGGGCGGGTTGGAGGGTGGTTTAGGATTGATTTGGTGTGGGTTTACGTTGGTTTAGGCGTGGTTTAGGATTTTTGCGTGGGTCCGTGGAAATCGGGCGTAGGGGGGACCGACCCTATCACAATGGCGGGGAGTTGCTCCAACATGTAAAACACTGCATGTTGGCCACTAAGAAAACCTGCGACACGATATAACATACAAATTTCAAACTCACTCTTACCTTCCTGGCGTTCCCCCGAAACACCGCCTTGCCCGGCTTGAGGCTTCGCGGCCTATCCTTTGGACCAAAACCATTGCAGCGCCAGCCCGCTGGCCCGGGCCGCGCTCCCGGGGTCGAAGTGGAGAAGCCGAGCGCAAAACCGATGCCCAACGGAACCCTCCGAAGGGTTGTGGGATCGCTCGGGGTTTCTCCCCACTGTGATACTTTTGCGAATCCCCCTTTGAAGCAAATAGTCTTTGGGAAGCCCTTTCTGTTGTATCACACAAGTGGTCATTCCCCACAGCCGTGCTCCGAATCCTTCGCACTGTCCGATTTCCCGAATTCCTGGCAAGTGGCTGGCAAAATGTCAAGGTTGAACAGTAAAATGCCATACTCATGTAGACTGCATCGCAGAGGATGAAGGTCGGCTGACCTCGGAGGTGCGGTGTGTGAGCTTGTGCGCCTGCCAAGACGTCTGGGCATGTGCGGATGCATGTGCATGCATGCTGGCTGGTGAAAAGGGACTCCAGAAGTGGGCCTATACCCTCAAAAGCAGACATGTGGACGTTACCCAAAACGCCAAGGCCGGCAGTTCAACTTACTGGTGCTCAGCTGGGAATGACCCAGGGTGTTGGGAATGAATCGGAAGGGGATTCCCTGACCTACGCAAACCAGCCCCCAGCAACTGCCCACTGCCACCAAATAGGCAACCCTAGGTCCAAGTCTGGCTGGTGATGCCGCAGATGTCTGCCAACCAACCAATCAACTAACCAGCCAGCCAGCCATCCAGCCAACCATCCAGCCAACCAGCCAGAGGAACCAGACCTGCGAAACACCAGCACTAGGAAAAACATATTCATCCATCGGTCCTACAAAAAATCAGAACTATTGAACCTTGCATTGATCCTAGGGACAAAAACCCGGCTTGGCCCCAATTGGCAAAATTACCTGCAAGCACTTCGACACCCGAATCGTCTCTACCTGAGGCTGTCCGACTGATATGCAACAGAAACGATAAACATGTGCATGCGGAATTCACCCAGCCAATTAAAACGGAACCCACCAGAAGGCCCCTTTCAGAGGAAACAAAAGGTCTTCCAGGAAACTTTGGTCAGGTCCCGTGGGAGTGTATCATCAGCATACCGCTTCTGTCTCTTCTTTAGAATGCGTATCTCGTTCCTCTGCTTTGGAGCGTTTCATTCAAAGGTAAAATGAGTATGGCTGTAAGCTAGAAGCTTAATTAGCGGTTTCCATCTGTGGGATTTCCTGAGCCAGCCACCTTCTGGCATAGCCTTCCAAGAATCGGCGTGATGGCATGCCGATTTGAGGCTTAACTTCAACCAAGCTGCCAGTGATGCTGCTTCCGTAGATTACATCCGATGCGTAGAGACAACTCGAGAGAACACGGCATGCAACCTCAAGGGCTGTTGCGACATGATTGCTCCCGCAATCTTACTCAGCCACCTCCCAGAAATGAGGAAAACAGTTGCCAGCAACAGAGCCACTGGCAAATCGGTAAATGTGTGTTTGGAGAAGTCCCTTCAAAAACTCATATGTATATATATATATATACGTAGACTGTTTGCCACTGGTCTCAAGATAAGACTCGGCCTCTTTGGTTGTCCCACTCCTTTTGAGCCCTCACAAGAAATCAAAATTCGAGTCGCTCCCAAGAGTGCTCGCTGCTTCGGCCAGAATGGACTGTGCCAGATCCCAAGAACCCAATCCAAAGCTGAACATTCACTCGAGCGGACACAACCCACAAGAAAACGATCCTACAATGGACTCTGTGCAGAACCCTGTAGGGGCCTATCAAGTGTTTGACCATTGGCGATTGGAAAACCATGGCCTCAAAGGTCAGCATCAAAGTTAGGTGACCCAGAGATACTCGTGAAATTGCCTCATCTGTAAGAAGGACATGGAGATAAAACACGTAAAGCCGTAAGATCATGACTTAGCAAGGGCCAAACTGGCACGACACTCTGAGCATCACCTATTGACGGCATCAAGCACGCCTCCTTGTTGCCTTTTCAGCGGAACCAAAGGAAGCGCCTGGCGGGCACGCTTGATGGGTCATTTCCTAAATTAAAAAAAAAAAAAAACTGTGTTGATCCCTTGATCGATAGATTAATTAGATCGGATGATCTCTTGATACCCCGGTTAAATAGGATAGGATCGATCCATTTTAAGGAGGCCGGACTGGGAGGGGGGGCACCGACATAGACCTATCCACATTGATGAATGGGATGGGGTGCTGTTTTAAGTTGGAAACCTGGAGAGAATCAAAAGCTATAGAGTCCAACTCTTGTTTTCAGGATAACTACATCCACATTTTGTAGACGACTGGCAGTAGTTTGAGACTGGTTGAGTATATTCGCGCCATGCGTTCACCTACTAGTACGACAACGAGCCCTGGTAGGCCCTTCCAGTTCCTTCCCTGAAGCGGACTCCTGTCTCGGACCACCTTGCAGCAAGAAGTCAAGCACTTAGAAGTTGCCGGATAATTTGTGTGCTTAAGAAACCATTGAGGTTGTTTGCAAGGAAACCCCAATGGAAGCCCTGGGGCCAGACAAACCCATCCAACTCCTTGCCCGCTAAGCCGATGCAAATCTCTTTGGCCTGCTGAAAACACACATACTTGGTGGTTCCCAGCCATCCGGTTCCTTAGTGTTTTGTTTCGCTTTTTAGTGTTTAGTGGGGATTTCTATTTAACCCACTAAAAGCCTAAAAGCTGACAACTTTTAGCGGGGGATCTGAGGACAGCCCAGCATATTTGTTGGCGAGACGTTTGATTGCGCATTCTGTTGTCCGGGCAAGGACCAAATTGCCTGCTCTCGCAGAGATCTTGCGGGAAGAAATCAGGTGGTCTTGCGGATCGATTGGCAATTCATGTTCCTCGACCTTACTTTTGGGCCAGCTCTATGGCAGTTGGGTAAGTGTTGCCCATATCGTACCTTTTGATTTCAGTCGATTTGCTTGACTGCCCTTGAAAACAACCTCAAACTTCAGGAAGCATTGCAAAGGCTGTAACATGAACAACTCGAGTCTATCTGGTGATGTGGACCATCCGGCACACCCGAGATCGGCATTGAGCACGGCCGAGGGGCCATCGTCAGCCAGACTGCGAGGACTTGGCAAAATCTCCGCAGCGACACCTTCTGCCAATCCTGAGCGGCGGCTTCCCGAAAAAAAAAGTGCTCCGTCCCAAAAAGCATCCAGCACTAAACCGCAAGCTACTGGAAGGAAGCCATACTTCCACACCCTGAGGCAAGTGGTTGTTCACCTACATGGGGATACAGGAAAACAAACACAGGCCAGCAGGTCAGGGCAAAGTGTCTCCAAATCTCCGGAAGAGGGGATCACCTCGAGTGCTTTGCGACCGGGGGTTGTAGCAGTTGAACGGACCTTGGCATAGATTCACGGAGCTTCTTGGCGGAATCAATCAACTCGGATTGATACTGTAGCAATGGCTGGAGCTTTATGGTGTGCGCCCAATGCAAGGCGGTGATGTATCCGTTCGCGGGAGAAAACTCCAATTGCCACCTCGTGCTCCACGCCGAGCTCGTTCGTTTTTCGGCGCTATGGGATGGTGCCTTGCTTTGAGAAGCGCTTCAAGCATATTCCAGGGAGCTCAGGCAGCTTCTTGCTTGAGTCAAGCATATCCTGTAACCTGCAAGCAGGTGCTAAGTGGGTCCTAAGTCGAATTAATGCCTTCCCCCTCACACATACAGCCGCGTAATGATACATTTTCGCTGGGTCCTGAGGGGCAGGGGGATTCCACTCGGGAATTTCCACCAAATCGTTCCCAGCATTGCTCGGCTTTGCAAATTCCAAATTGCCAGACACAAGTGACAATATGTCTTGCAACTAAGACTGAAATTGACGTGATGAACTTGCCATGAACATCGGAAGTGCTTTGGGGGTACTCTTAATACGATTGCAGCTGGGTCAGTGAGGGACGGGATCTAATAGTCTTGTGCTGGTTAGGTATTTGCCAATTTCTAGTTTAAGAGGTTGGGAACATGTGATTTACCAGGCCAGCATAGAAATAGATTGACCAAGTCAGCTGAAGTTGCTCCAAGGTTACGCTCCCTCTGGGGGCCATCCGTATCAGGCGGCTCCGCCTCTTTCACGGGACTTCGTTCAAATTAATCCTGGACTGGCCTTTCATGTTTGGCTGGTATCTTTGGCTCAGAGGCCTGCCGGTTTCAAAACACATGCGCAACTTGCCAAGCTACAAATGGCAACGGTACCGACCCTAACCTCTAGGGCTCCCGCACCCACCCTCCAAGAAGTCTAAACTGCAAACGCATGAGGTTCAGAAAGGAATCCCCAAAATATGTTCCCAATTGTCTGGGATTCCAGTTCCCAATTGTCTGGGGAATCCCCAGAAAACTTGGAGAAAGTTTTTCGCCCAATTGTTTTTCGACAAGCCGCCATCATGAAACCCGACTCGGTCGCGTACTCATCCAGTCGACAATCCTCTGGCCCGAGCCTGATGCTCAGCTGCAAACACTGTGTTCTTCCAATGCTTCCACAAACATCTAACTTCATGCAAGGTGAACCGTAAGTTAAATCATTTGAAGAACGCGTGCGGCTAACAAGCACGTTGCCCCCCAATTTTGCCCTTCCAAACTCGCCAGCAAGCGGTATAGCCTCTGAGTGGACCGGGAAAGGGCTCCGGCTGTTGTTTCCCAACCGGCGGGTCACTCATAGTCTCAAGGCTCGGGGTCCTAAATGGTTGGTTGCCTGCTGGCTTTCCCGAAAGCATGGCGAAGGGTTCTTCCGCTGGGTTCACTTGAGTTGTTCTCATGAGAGTCATTACAAGGTGTCATTGCAAGGAATCATCATCATGAAAGTCAATGCAAGGAGTCATTGCAAGGAGTCATTGCAAGGAGTCATTGCAAGGAGTCATTGCAAGGAGTCATTGCAAGGAGTCATTGCAAGGAGTCATTGCAAGGAGTCATTGCAAGGAGTCATTGCAAGGAGTCATTGCAAGGAGTCATTGCAAGGAGTCATTGCAAGGAGTCATTGCAAGGAGTCATTGCAAGGAGTCATTGCAAGGAGTCATTGCAAGGAGTCATTGCAAGGAGTCATTGCAAGGAGTCATTGCAAGGAGTCATTGCAAGGAGTCATTGCAAGGAGTCATTGCAAGGAGTCATTGCAAGGAGTCATTGCAAGGAGTCATGAGAGTCATTGCGAGCTGCGCATGGAGTCAAGTGCAAGTTGCAAGTGCAAGGAGTCAAGTGCAAGTTGCAAGTGCAAGGAGTCAGGTGCAAGTTGCAAGTGCATGGAGTCAAGTGCAAGTTGCAAGTGCATGGAGTCAAGTGCAAGTTGCAAGTGTAAGGAGTCGAGTGCAAGTTGCAAGTGCAAGGAGTCAAGTGCAATTGACTTGCGAGGAGTTAAAATCTCTTCTTAGGGCGGCGGGGTAGTGCCGACGACACTACACGAAAATCGACCTTCTGCGGGGATCGGCGTGGTCGAGGTGCAAAAACCCATGGTTTTTTGCGATTTCTAAAGTTCCCGCGCGACCCTCTGCGGGGATCGGCGTGGTCGAGGTGCAAAAACCCATGGTTTTTTGCGATTTCTGCGCTGCTCGCGCGACCATCTGCGGGGATCGGCGTGGTCGAGGTGCAAAAACCCATGGTTTTTTTTGCGATTTCTGCGGTGCTCGCGCGACCCTCTGCGGGGATCGGCGTGGTCGAGGTGCAAAAAACCGATGGTTTTTTGCGATTTCTGCGGTGCTCGCGCGACCCTCTGCGGGGATCGGCGTGGTCGAGGTGCAAAAACCGATGGTTTTTTGCGATTTCTAACATGCTCGCGCGACCCTCTGCGGGGATCGGCGTGGTCGAGGTGCAAAAACTCGAGGTTTTTTGCGATTTCTGCGGTGCTCGCGCGACCCTCTGCGGGGATCGGCGTGGTCGAGGTGCAAAAACCCATGGTTTTTTGCGATTTCTGCGGTGCCCGCGCAACCCTCTGCGGGGATCGGCGTGGTCGAGGTGCAAAAACTCGAGGTTTTTTGCGACTTTTGTTGTTCGAACTGGTCCTCGGGAGTTGTCTCGTGGTTCGCGCGCCTGCTCCCGGGCCGGCCGGTCGCGGGTTCGATTCCTCCCTGGTCCGCGGGCGGGCGTCGCGCAACTTGACGCAACTTGCATTTTAAAGCAACTTGCGCAGACCAACTTGCACCGACCAGTTTGCGCAGAGCGCCTTGCCTAGAGCAACTTGCGCAGAGCAACTTACGCAGAGCAACTTGCACAGAGCAACTTGCACAGAGCAGCTTGCACAGAGCAACTTGCAGGGAGCGCAATTTGCACAACTTGCGCAGAGCAACTTACGCAGAGCAACTTGCACAGAGCAACTTGCACAGAGCAGCTTGCACAGAGCAACTTGCAGGGAGCGCAATTTGCACAGAGCAACTTGCAGGGCGGCAGGTTGGTAGGTTGGCAGGTTGGCAGGTTGGCAGGTTGGCAGGTTGGTAGGGGCAGGCTGGCAGTTGCTCTACGCAAGTTGCACTAAGTTGCTCTGCGCAAGTTGCTCCGCGCAAGTTGCTCCGGCAAGTTGGTCCCTGCAAGTGGCTCCCTGCACGTTGCTCTGTGCGAGTTGCAATATGTGCAAGTTGGCGCGAGACAGCACCAGGCAAGGTGCTCTGCGCAAACTGGTCGGTGCAAGTTGGTCTGCGCAAGTTGCACTGTGCAAGTTGCTCTGCGCAAGTTGCTCCGCGCAAGTTGCTCCGGCAAGTTGGTCCCTGCAAGAACTTGCACCGACCAGTTTGCGCAGAGCACCTTGCCTGGTGCTGTCTCGCGCCAACTTGCACACACTGCAACTCGCACAGAGCAACTTGCGCAAAGCAACTTGCGCAGAGCAACTTGCGCATGTGCCAGGCCGGGGTTAAACAAGTTTGCCGCACATCGTGGGGAGTTATGCTTTCAGGCCACTCACCCTGTAGGAGTTTGACGCAAGGAGTTCTCATCATGAAAGAAGTTGCGGGGAGCATGGCGCACACGGCTTATTTACGGGCATGGCGCACACGGCTGGTTGTTATGTGGCACCTTGCGGATGATCATCGAGATTTGGCTCAAACAGAAGTCATGGAGCTCGAAGTAGCTAGGCTTCAGGCTGGCGCGGCCCAGCATGGCAAAGCGTGGCTGCAGCAAGAGATGGCGGCCAAAGCCCAACCCCAACTTCGCGCACTCGCCCGACGGCTGGATGTGCGCCAATGGGTCGCAGGCAGCAACGTGACCAAGGCAGACCTAGCTGCCGCTGTCGTGGAGAAGCTGTGCCCACAGGCCAGGCCACAGGCCAGGATCGAAATCTGGAGAGTTTTGCTGGTGTTTGTTTTGCTGTGCTGATTGTTGCCAGGAGAGCAGCTTGCGCAGAGCAGCTTGCGCAGAGCAACTTGCAGAGCAACTTCCGCAGCGTAACTCGCGCAGAGCAACTTGCACGGAGCACTTTGCGCAACTTGCGCAGAGCAAGTTGCACAAAGCACTTGTGCAGAGCAACTTGCGCGCAGGGCACGTGCCCAAGCAGCTGTTGCGTGCATATGTGCGTGCATGCGTGCGCGCGGTTGCATTTTTCTGTTGGTTTGTGTGTGTGTGTGCGTTTGTGTGTGCGTTTGTGTTTGCGCTTCCTGCGGGTCTGTGCGTGCGTGCGTGAATGAGGAGCGAACTGTAATACTTGTTTTTTGTCTGGCAAATCATGTTCTTTTTTTCCCGGAAGCATTGCGAAGGGTTCTTCTTCTAAAAGCGGCTGCCAACTTCACCTGCCAACTTCTCATGCCAACTTGTCGAGAGTTACTTCACCTGCCAACTTCTCATGCCAACTTGTCGAGAGTTACTTCACCTGCCAACTTCTCATGCCAACTTGTCAAGAGTTACTTCACCTGCCTACTTCTCATGTCAACTTTTTGAGAGTTACTTCACCTGCCAACTTCTCATGTCAACTTTTCGGCTGTTATCTCATTCTACTAAAAGCACAAGCTAATTTGTCGGGTGTTACTTCACTATCCTAAAAACACAAGCTAACTTTTCTGTTCTACCTTCACTTCTCGACTCTTAATTCTTCTTCTTTTTCTGGCGGGGGTAGGCCCGACAGGAGCTTACGAAACGCACCCCTCTGCGGAGATCGTGCGTGTCGAAGCGCTCTCGCTGTGGCGCCGTGCGAATTTGTCTTGAGCGCGGCGAACCCTCTGCGGAGATCGTGCGTGTCGAAGCGCTCTCGCTGTGGCGCCGTGCGAATTTGTCTTGACCTTGGCGAACCCTCTGCGGAGATCGTGCGTGTCGAAGCGCTCTCGCTGTGGCGCCGTGCGAATTTGTCTTGACCTTGGCGAACCCTCTGCGGAGATCCTGCGTGTCGAAGCGCTCTCGCTGTGGCGCCGTGCGAATTTGTCTTGAGCCCGGCGAACCCTCTGCGGAGATCGTGCGTGTCGAAGCGCTCTCGCTGTGGCGCCGCGCGAATCTGTCTTGGTCGCGGCGAACCCTCTGCGGAGATCGTGCGTGTCGAAGCGCTCTCGCTGTGGCGCCGTGCGAATTTGTCTTGACCTTGGCGAACCCTCTGCGGAGATCCTGCGCGTCGAAGCGCTCTCGCTGTGGCGCCGTGCGAATTTGTCTTGAGCCCGATGAACCCTCTGCGGGGATCGTGCGTGTCGAATCGCTCTCGCTGTGGCGCCGTGCGCATCTGTCTTGAGCCCGATGAACCCTCTGCGGAGATCGTGCGTGTCGAAGCGCTCTCGCTGTGGCGCCGTGCGATTTTCTTGCTCGCGAAACGGCTTTTGGAAGTTGTCTCGTGGTGCGCGCGCCTGCTTTCGCAATCCCGCGGTCCCGGGTTCGATTCCCCCCTGGTCCGCGGCAGCTCCGGCTTGAAAATCGCAGCTTTTAAGTACAAACGTAGTACGCGGAGCGTGCTCCTGCAGCTCCGGCTGGAAAATCGCAACTTTTAAGTACAGACGTAGTATGCGGAGCGTGCTCCCGCAGCTCCGGCTGGAAAATCGCAACTTTTAAGTACAAACGTAGTACGCGGAGCACACTCCCGCAGCTCCGGCTGGAAAATCACAACTTTTAAGTACAAAAAATAGTACGCGAAGTACATTCCCACAGCTCCGGCAGCACTTGCTCAGAGCAACTTGCGCAGAGCAACTTGCGCAGAGCAACTTGCACAGAGCACTTGCACAAAGCACTTGCGGAGAGCAACTTGCACAGACCAACTTGCACAGAGCACATGCGCAAAGCGCTTGCACGGAGCAACTGGCGCAGAGCAACTTGCTCAGAGCACTTGCGCAGAGCAACTTGCATAGAGCGCTTGCGTGCAGCAGCTTGCAGAGAGGAACTTGCGCGCAGCAGCCTGGAACGATGCAGCTTGCGCAGACCACTTTCGTGAGAAATCGCGCGGCGCAGTTCGTGCAAAGCACATTGCGCCGAGCAGACTCGCGCAGAGCCAACTTGCACAGAGCCAGTTGCGCAGAGCCACTCGCGAAAAGTAGCTTGCGTAGACCCAACTTTCACAGAGCCAAGCTGCGCAGAGCCATCTTGCACAGAGCTAAGTTGCGCGAGCGTGCTTTGCAGAAACTGTGGCCGTCGTGTAAGCTTTGCTATTGATTGCTCTTCCTTTTGCTTGTAATTCGTTTCGAGCTTTACGAGCTTTACTCTTCTTGTTTTAACGGATGTAAATATGTGGGATCGAGCACTGCCATGTTTCCTCTCGTAGGACGATGAGATGGAGCTCTCATGTGACCATACGCATTGAGCATCGCCGCGCGCGGACACGCTCGCCGCAGCGATGTGAAAAGGTGTCTCCGCGGCTGGATGAGCACCTGGGGAAAAATGCTTTCGGGCCAATCGTCCTCTAGTTCTGGCAAATGGGTGTGGGTGCGAGGACAGGTGCTGATGGCCAACATGGTCCAGCTGGTGGCACGAGCTCTGGTTCCTCGCAGTTTCCTCAACCTCCACGCGGAAGCCAAGGGCAGTCTGCGACTGCGCGCAGCACAGACGGATTGCGATCTCCTTGTGATCGGCAGCCACACTGCGCGAACTGGCGCCGTCACGAGAATGATTCGAAGCCCGGCTTGGAGAAGAAGCTGCAGTACCTCTTTCTCTACGCAGCGGAAGCCCGAAGTCTGACTTGCATGCGGCACTACGTAGAAGTAGCACACGTAGTCCTCGGGAGTTGTCTCTCTTTTTTTTTGCGTGTTTTTTGTTGCGAATTTGTCTTTGGCAATTGTCTCGTGGTTTGCGCGGCTGCTCTCCGATGTCGCGCGGTCGCGGGTGCGATCCCCGCCTGGTCCGCGGCAGCTCTGGCTGCACGCAGTTCCAGCTGAAAGTCGCAAATTTTAAGTGCAAAAGTAGTACGCGGAGTACATTCCCGCACCTCCAGCTCCAAAATCACAAGAGTAGTACGCGGAGTACATTCCTGCAGCTCCAGCTGCAAAACTTGCGCCGAGCAACTTGCGCCGAGCAACTTGCGCAGAGCAGCTTGCGCAGAGCAACTTGCAGAGCAACTTCCGCAGCGTAACTCGCGCAGAGCAACTTGCACAGAGCACTTTGCGCAGCGCAACTTGCACAGAGCAAGTTGCACAAAGCACTTCTGCAGAGCAACTTGCGCGCAGGGCACGTGCCCAAGCAGCTGTTGCGTGCATATGTGCGTGCATGCGTGCGCGCGGTTGCATTTTTCTGTTGGTGTGTGTGTGTGTGTGTGTGTGTGTGTGTGTGTGTGTGTGTGTGTGTGTGTGTGTGTGTGTGTGTGTGTGTGTGTGTGTGTGTGTGTGCGTGTGTATGTGTGTGCGTTTGTGTTTGCGCTTCCTGCGGGTCTGTGCGTGCGTGCGTGAATGAGGAGCGAACTGTAATACTTGTTTTTTTGTCTGGCAAATCATGTTCTTTTTTCTGGCAAATGGGTGTGGGTGCGAGGACAGGTGCTGATGGCCAACATGGTCCAGCTGGTGGCACGAGCTCTGGTTCCTCGCAGTTTCCTCAACCTCCACGCGGAAGCCAAGGGCAGTCTGCGACTGCGCGCAGCACAGACGGATTGCGATCTCCTTGTGATCGGCAGCCACACTGCGCGAACTGGCGCCGTCACGAGAATGATTCGAAGCTCGGCTTGGAGAAGAAGCTGCAGTACCTCTTTCTCTACGCAGCGGAAGCCCGAAGTCTGACTTGCATGCGGCACTACGTAGAAGTAGCACACGTAGTCCTCGGGAGTTGTCTCCTTTTGTTTGCGTGTTTTTTGCTTGCGAATTTGTCTTTGGCAATTGTCTCGTGGTTTGCGCGGCTGCTCTCCGATGTCGCGCGGTCGCGGGTGCGACCAGCTGAAAGTCGCAAATTTTAAGTGCAAAAGTAGTACGCGGAGTACATTCCCGCACATCCAGCTCCAAAATCACAAGAGTAGTACGCGGAGTACATTCCTGCAGCTCCAGCTGCAAAACTTGCGCCGAGCAACTTGCGCCGAGCAACTTGCGCAGAGCAGCTTGCGCAGTGCAACTTGCAGAGCAACTTCCGCAGCGTAACTCGCGCAGAGCAACTTGCACAGAGCACTTTGCGCAGCGCAACTTGCACAGAGCAAGTTGCACAAAGCACTTGTGCAGAGCAACTTGCGCGCAGGGCACGTGCCCAAGCAGCTGTTGCGTGCATATGTGCGTGCATGCGTGCGCGCGGTTGCATTTTTCTGTTGGTTTGTGTGTGTGTGTGTGTGTATGTGTGTGCGTTTGTGTTTGCGCTTCCTGCGGGTCTGTGCGTGCGTGCGTGAATGAGGAGCGAACTGTAATACTTGTTTTTTTGTCTGGCAAATCATGTTCTTTTTTCTGGCAAATGGGTGTGGGTGCGAGGACAGGTGCTGATGGCCAACATGGTCCAGCTGGTGGCACGAGCTCTGGTTCCTCGCAGTTTCCTCAACCTCCACGCGGAAGCCAAGGGCAGTCTGCGACTGCGCGCAGCACAGACGGATTGCGATCTCCTTGTGATCGGCAGCCACACTGCGCGAACTGGCGCCGTCACGAGAATGATTCGAAGCTCGGCTTGGAGAAGAAGCTGCAGTACCTCTTTCTCTACGCAGCGGAAGCCCGAAGTCTGACTTGCATGCGGCACTACGTAGAAGTAGCACACGTAGACCCCGGATGTAGGTCGTTTTTTGGCGGCGCGTGACTGGGCTGCGAAGACTAACAAGGTTTTGCCGCCCGACGTGGAGGGTTTCTTCCAGAGCCACGGGCTGTAGAGTTTTTGCTGCAGGAGGCAGTTGGATTTGACGCGGACTGTGCGGACAACCTCGCTTGCGATATTCTGCTTTCGGGCCAACCGTGGTCTAGTTTTTGAAACCAGCCTTTCAAGCTGCCATTTTAGTCCCCAGGAAGAGAAAACATATTTCCAGTAGGTGATAGCTTCCCTTAAAAACCAGCATGGGAATTATAGAACGTGCTCTTAAGCAAACGGACGCAGGAGGTTCCCCAAAACGACACCCCCGTTTGAGCAGTGCTTTCTCGGCGCTCGGGGGCTATACGCTGCACACACACACGCCTAAGCGGGCGCCTACGCACGGCCTCCGCGATGTGCAAGGGGCGCCTACGCTTGCGTGCAAGCCGCTTGCCGGCCGCATCGCTACCTTGAGCTGTGCAACTCTGCCGAGTCATTCATTGCCCACTTAGGGCAATGTGAGTGTGTTTTCGATGCGCGACATGCACTTGGGAGATCCAGCTCCAAAATCGCAACTTTCAGTACAAGTGTAGCACTCGAGGTGCGCTGCTTGGCAGCTGCCAAGTGAAACGGGAAGCTTCCCATGAGCAGCAGCAGCGGCCCGCCCGGAAAGAGACAAATTTAACGAAGCCTTCGTGGATGGAGGCAGTTCGGAGTGAGAGGAGCTTAGTGGCTAACACGCAACGATGCAAATCTTAGAGCTGCCGTGTATCCATCCCTTGTGTGGACTCAACCACTATGGAACATGAAAGATTTCAAACCCGGCGCAGTTCTATGATGTATCATCCCAGCCTTGCCTACGCGGGCGCCTACGATGTCCGCGAAAAGCCTACGCGAGCCGCTTCCCCAGCTAAATTGCCTGTGCAAACATGTGTGAACCCTTGATAAATGGGTGTTTCTCAAAATAGTCCCTGAAACCATGCTACAAACTTGAAAAGGGGTGCGGCATTCTGAGAACCCCCCGGCCCGATTCTCCGAGTCGCAGTGAAGTGAGGCCAGCTCTGCGCAAGCTGCACGTAGCAAGCACCAGGCCAAGTATCAGTGACCCCCTGCGACAGGTACTCGGGGAGTTCTTCAAAATGGACTCCTGTTCGAAGTTTAACCGGAAACCAGAATGAAACCTTTACCATTGCAGGGATCTCTATTCTGAGAACCACCCATTGGATCTATGAGAAACACCCATTGGATCAAAAAGGGACTCACTGGCCAAACCAAGTGTGCCACAGTCTTCTCACGATGCAACTCAAGGAGTGAGAGAAGAAGATCTGTCCTTACCCCGCAAGAAAGTTCCGGATGTCTTGACGTGGGAGAGTTGACTAATCATCTGTGCGAGTGTGCTTTCAACTGCATCTGATTCATCATATGTTTTTGTTGGCCGTTCATCAGTTTTCAAGAAAGAACACACAAAACAGCTGCAGCCACTTGGCATTTTTTGGCATCATTTGTGGGGCTCGGTAACCTTGGGGTGTGAAACGGGGAGACGCCGCCCCATGCTTGGGTTTCCGCATTCGACAAAGCAAAGCAGCTCTGCGTCGCAAGTCTAGGCCATATCATTTTGCAAAGACCACACTCGAGAAGCAGACTGAAACCAGCGGAAAGCGAAATCGAACAACACAAGTACGTATGCTTGTGGACCGGAGCTTGGGCACATCCCCTTTTGTTGATTTGGTTGGTTCAGCGGGGGACAAGGGGGGGCATTGACCTGGAAATGTTCAATCACCCCGAAGAAATCCAATGGCATGCGTACATGACCAACCCTCGTTTGGAAACGGTATACCTAGACCCCAAAAAAATGTGATCACCAAACGGTTCGGTTTTCCTTTGAAACCAACCCCAAACAAGGTACTAGTACCCTAAAGAAAGACAACACCGTCTTTCGCCGGCACAGGGAACAAGGGCGCCTTGATTGTGCCCGTCTGAGCCTAAACCTTGGGCCGCTCTCGCCCGTCCGAATGGCAAAGTTAAATAGGACAACTTCAGCCTCCCAGACACGCACCTCAATCCTTTCGTAATAGGTGCCTTGTGGAAAAAATGGATGGCCCACAGGTGCTATGTAAGTAGGAGGGAGGGTAAGGGTTGCCAATTGAACACTGGGCAAATGGCTGGAACTCAAAAAATGGCATCCCAAAAATTGATGGCACCTTGGTATATCCATGTTAATTGGCGGGAGGGGAATATGTTCGGAGGACACCCCAGCTTCGAGCAACTCTTCTGGGGAAAGCTGGACACCGAGGCACAGGGAGCTGGCCATGTAAGTGCTGAGGCCATCAGCAGAAGCGGACCACAGCAGCGCCCCCGTGGCGAGCGTGGGAAAAATGGCATAGTTCCAAAAGGAAAGCAAGCGCCATTGGCGACGCCTGCCAGCACGAGCAACCACCCACATGTGGCCGTTCGCACATGAAACTTGGGGGGCCACCTTAAACAGCCCGAAGAGTCAAAGAACTATCTACATCCCCAAACAGGGGATGTGATTTCCCCTGTGTTCCTTAACCTGGTCAACATCCCATCCCCATCAAAATCGACCCTGTGGATGTCAAAAAGGGATGTGCATCAGTTCCTTGAGAAAAGGCAAAGGCTTCTTTGCCCACCAGCTTCATTGAACATATATCAACACTAAGAAAACACTCCCAACACTAAGAAAGCAAGCATCCCTTTTCGGAGGTAGCCCTTGATTTGGCACGCATTTCTTCTGTGGAAACGCCAGAGGCTCTGGCTTCAGCTGCGCAAATGCATGTGCAGCATGTCCTGTTGCCAGGACGGAGGGCTGCTTCCTTTGCTTTCACCCGCGCTTACACAGGGATCCTTACATTATACACCTGAACATTGCCTTGTAAATGGTGGGTTCCCTCTATCTTGGTGGAAAAAGCCATGTTTCAAAATGTTGCAAAATGTATCTTTTAAGAAGGCCTATTACACTTCAAGGGTTCCATCTGAAGGCAAGCCAACCTGTTGCACATCGGGGCCATGACTCCCCTGTGTCATGAATCTTTGGTAGCGCTGGGCTCTTTGCCCAAGGCACTCACCCAAACGTTCTGTAGGGGGGCATGCTAAGTAGCTCCCCTGTGTTGGAAAGGGTTTCCTCAGCAGAAACAAATGTAAGCCAATGAAACAAAGGCACCATCTGGCGTAGATATCCACACCGGACATCCAGCTGCAATTGCAACCAGGTGGTGATTTCATAGAAATCGAGCATCTCATGTTGAGGGTTTCCATTCTTCTCAGGCTCCTTTGCTTTCACCATGGTTCAGGTGGACTTGCCTCGCCAAAATGAGTTGCTCTGTTCTGTTGCCCATAACCCCCCTACAAAGCAGGTACGAAAAAAGTCTTCGGTGCGCCCGACCACCACCAAGCTGCGCCTACCAATGTCTAGCAGCCCGGCCATGCACAGACAAACCCAGGCCACCAGCGGCAAGGCAGTGCTCCCTGGCCACTTTGCTTCGGCCGAAGCAACCAGAGATCGCTCCGTTGGCTTCACTATGCACAGTGGAAACCTCTCAAAACGCTGAACATGATTTGTGAAAGGCAAAATAATTTCAACACCTGAAGGATTCTTCATGGGCAAGCTTCGCAAGCTCGCCAACAACTATACACTTGGTAAAGGGGTTGTGCAAGAACGGTGCACCATTGTATCTGCCAGCGCAACTCTTGCAAGAACATACCAATGGGAATCCCTTAGCTTGCCTTGGTCTGAAAGCAACAGGATCAGCAACCTTGACCCATCCGCAAAGAGCGCGTCAAAGCACAGTCATCCCACTTCTGATTTCAGTCTGAGTAAATGCCGTCCCTTCGTGTGAGTTGTCATCACTGCAACAAAACTCATCCAGTTTGTCTTTTTCTACCAGTGAGAGGGGTAAGCCCTGGGAGCTCGGCCGGCAACAGCGCAAGTACGCAAAGCACATGTTGACAACCTCTAAAGCCGCAACGTTTCAGTATCAGTGCATCGGACAGTGTACCTTGGCAGCTCCAGCTGGGACAGCCGACGTTTTCAGTACAACTGTAGAATGCAAAGTGCACGTTGGCAGTTTCAGCTTGAACATCACATCTGCCCAGCGCAACGGCAATGCGCAAAGTGCATTTGGGAGTTCCAAGCCCATGTTGCGGTGGCATTCAAACTGTTCCGTCGGCTTGCAGATGAACCATCATGGTGGTCTGTCAGACGTGCGGCCAATTCTGCCTGGCTTCCTCAATTTGCGGGAAAACCTGGTGGCTCGGCAATCAGACCTGGACCCACAAAGTCCGGACCTGATATTTCTTTAGAACCAGATCAGGTACGTCCGACTAAAATAGGGTTCAAGTGTTTTCTTTTGAAAGGGTGTCGGTTTTGCTGAGTTCCCCGTTTTCCGTGCAATCTCCGTGCAATCTGCCAGGCAACCTGCAAAAATTAATCGTTTATCAAAGTCTTGCGAAGAGCTGCCAGCTCTCATAGGACTCAGCAAGCAGCACACAAAACAGCCCCCTTCCCAGTTGCGTAACTTGGCCAGTTCGGAGAAGCCTCACACTCGTTGTGTTGCGGGCACCATCAGCTGGTTCAGATCTCCAAGGTTGCTTGTGAAGAAACCCAACACCGTGGGATTCTCTTCAAGAATTCCGCCAGCCCAAACAATCGGAGCTGAGATGAAAAACATGAAGGCTAAACAAGATCGCTAGAATAAACCTGTGACCAGTGCATCAGCTCTGCAATGTTTCCTTTAGATATCGTGGTTTGGCGATACAACAAGAAACTATACAACATATGCGACAGAGACATGTCTGACGTGCAACCCGCATGCTCACAAACATGGATCCCGTGGGCGGAAGTCCTTGGAAAGCAAACAATAATTCAACAACCATGCTCGTTAATGTTCATAAGCCTGGCAGATTGCAGGGATGCTTCCCCCAAAAGTTTCGAGTCCCCTGTGAGAGCCAAGTCACGCACACAAGCAACGGCTGCACTTGTAGCGCCGAGCCTTCAACGGTCCTCATCGGGGACGAGTTTTTCATGGTGCCGGTGGTGGCCCGCACGATCACTGCGTCGTAGTTGTTGCGCAACTCGTCCTCAGCAAAGGGCTGCCATGCTTGGTCGAGATTTGGGTCCGGCACCAATTGGAACAGAAAGGGTAACGGTGCGCCGCTGAACAACCGGCTGAAAACCTCCCATCATATTTATCAGGCACGCTTGAAGAGGGGAGCAGGGCTACAAGGCGGTTTTGTCAGTCTCCATAGATTCATAGATGTTGGTTGTTGTTAGGGCACCGGGCGCGTCCCAAACTCCAAAGTTTCGTGGATCCTTCCTAGTAGGTCTGCAGTTGTTTTCTTGCGACATCGCCCAAGTAAGTACATGCAGGTGTAATAAGTATATTTAGGTGTACGTTGTCTGCATGTGTACATGCATGGGGGAATGCGTGTATAGCTGTGTCAATCTGCGCGTCTCGTATGGCAGTTTTGCTTTTCTACTGCTCTCCAGTAAGAGTAAACAAGTAAACAGTACAACTGCTGGCCCCATGAAAGTGGGACAGTAAAGCTCTCAGAAGTAAATGTTGATGTACTTCAGTGAGTCTGACTGTCACACGTTTCTCCCCAGAAGTAAAAAGTAAAAAACCAAACTGCCAAGAGTAAAACGTGCTTCTCTTAAGGGGGGTTACGGCACTACTTTTCCCCAGCCAAAGTACACAGCCAAACTCCCAAAAGTAAAGCCGTTTTTACTTCAAGCAGCTCTACCTTCTTACCTTCTCCCTGTAAAAGTAAGCAAGTCAAACCCCCCCAAACGTAAAACTTGCTTTAGGTGCCTGTACTGCACCCTGCGTTTTTTAAACGTTGCTGATATTTGACAGGCTCGTGTGTTCGCGGGCACCCGCAGGCGTTTTCAGCCATTTCACCGCTCCGCGAAACGCCTCGCGCAGTGACCCTGCTCAGCGCTGCCCGCTCAAACACAGCCGCTCAGCACTGAATCCACGCCTGCCAAATGATAAGCATCCCCGCAACAGTGACCCCGCTCAGCACTGTATCGAAAATGATAAGCCCACAACCCCAAACACAACCGCTCAGCGCTGTGTCCACACCTGCCAAATGATAAGCATACCCGCTCAAACGCAGCCGCTCCGAACTGTATCCACGCCTGCCAAATTAAAAGCACACCCGCTCAGATGGATTGTATATACGCGGGCGTGGCAATGGCGACACGCCCAGACAGATAGAAACTTGTTTCAAAACTCTGCATGTCGGCCTGAGCTATATGACTGCCTGATCTGTAAAAGCGGAGCGAAAACACACAGCTTCCTTTTGCTACCTCTTTCAAACAAAGAAGTGATTTCGCCTCGTCGAAACGCATGTCAGGCCCAAAACGACAACACCGTCACACCATCGTGGAGGATTTGCGACATCCGGAACGTGTTCTTGCGCAAGCGATGTGCGTTTCGTCTAAGCGAAAGCACGTTTGAGGTTTTGGCGGCCGGGGTGAGTTGCTGAAAGCGCAGGGTGCGTTACAGGCGTCACCTTGCTTTGCTTCAGGCAATTCTACACAAAGTTTTCCTTTGTTACTTGTTTACTTCTACTGGGGAGAAGTAAACAAATTAAATAGCAAAGCTTGTAGCCATGAATAGTTTCCAGCAAACAACTCCCGAAAGTACCTTGTTTGTTGTGCCAGGAAGTTGCGCTTACTTCCCCGGTAAGAAACCAAGCCATAAACCACGCAAAAGCAAAACGCTTTTTTCAGGCGGTGTTAGTCGTTACTGTGCGGGGTCCAAAAGTGTTCCCTTTTTCTTGCCGTAAAAAGAAGAAGAAGCAAAACTGCCTGAAGCAGAACAAGTTTTGATTCTTCTTTGGGAGTTTACTTGTTACTTTCATGGCGTTAAAAGTGCTACTTTTTACTTTGTTACTTTATGTTACTTTTAGGAGGGACAAGCAAAACAGTAAGACCCCCTGAGATCAAACAACATCTACTGTTGGGAGTTTCACTTTTCATTTTGCAGCTTGTAAATCGGGTTTGCGGGGGGGGGGGGGGTAGCGGATATACATGGCCCAGCCCCCCAACGCCCCGGGGGCTTGGGCATCTGGAAGGGTTGATTTGGGATGCGCCTCGGGAATCACCTGCCCGCCCTGTGGAATGGTTTTAGGTCTTGATTGTGTTTGGTTTGGTCTTAGTTGGTTTGGGTGCTCACGAACAGAAGTTTAGAAGGGACTGCCGTAGTGCGGACACTAATTGAGACCCAAAAGGAGAAAGAAGAGTAAGCACGCGTGAGAAAATGAGCGCGCATGTTGCAGGGAATGGACGTATCCAACAAGCGCAGCCTTCTGCGGGTTTCAGTGGTCGGGGCGCTCTTGGAGGGAGCTCGGAGAGCGTTCGGAGCGAGCTCGGGGTCGGCCCACCAAAGCTAAAATCCTCCTAGAGAAATTCTGACCGACCTCACCATGGCAATTTTCTTCAACCAAGCCACTTGATATGTCGCGCCGCACTCAGCCCACATGATTCGCGGCTTTGTAGGCTTCTACTTATATTTAGTGATCCACGATTAGAAAACTGGTCACATGTCAAATGTCTTTCAGAAACCAACTAAATCCCCTCAACCGGTCAGATCCACCCTAGAAACCGGTCAAATCTACCCTAGAATAAAAATCGGTTTAAACTCCCCCTCTAGAAGTCGGTCAGATCCACCTGGAAATTGGTTAAGTCCCCAATTCGGGAATGTCAATAAACAACAAAAACTGTGAGAAAACAAAGAGCAACAAAAAGTCGAGAAAATTAAAAAGCAAAGTTTGAGGCGGAGACCAAAGATTCTCCCACAGAGATGCGTTGTGTTTGTTTCGAGGTGTTTTGGCTATTCAAGTTGTCTCATGTGTTTCGACATTATCCCTCACACAAACCAAACAACTCGAGGTTGTGTGTGTGTGTTGGTGTTCCTTTTGAAACATGCAGAACACCAACAAACCACTGAGATATTTTTGCTGCGTTGTTTTGATGAGGTTTGCTCTCTTATGTTCTTGCTGAAGGTGTGACCATACATGCACAAGCCTTGCTTCGATACACATTGCCATATTTTGCTGAACACTTTTACCTCCGCGGCCTCAGTCTAGATTAGACTGAAAAGAGTTGCCAAATAGGACTTTGATGAACAGAATTTATTTTCAAGCAGAATTCAACAGCTAGATTTACATTATTGACTCAAACCCCATAAAGCTCCTTGTAAAGCTCCTCGTAAGGCTCCCTTTGAAGCTCCTGATCAAGCTCCGTACAAAACTCTTTGCTAGTTAATTAAGAAGATCCTTGTAAAACTCGTGTTGAAGGCTCCTTGTCCTTGTGTAAATCTTGTTTAAGCTGCTTGTAAAAATCCTTCAGGCCTCTTATGAAGATTCTTAACACAGCTCCCTACCATGTCGAGCCTCCTTATACCAAATTGGACGTTGATTACAAACATATGTTAAACAAAATTGAGTGAAACAAATAATTATGTATAAGTTCTATTCACAATAACAATTTAAAGGGGAAATCCTTTCCAACCATGATTTTCATGTGAATAGTATAGTTTGTGTTGGTAGAATTCAATATGGACATGATTTGATCAGAAACATATTCCAAAAGGATGTCGATTAAGTGGAAAAATAAGTTCAGTAGAATCGAATAACGATGGAATCCTATTATATGTTTGATGTTGAAATAGAATGAGGTAACTTACATTTGCACATGGAACCGAACAAAGACTGGACTTACATGCAATGAACTGCAGGTGAATAACTCTCCTTATAAAGGTCCTCTCGAGGCTCTTTTCAAGGCTCCTTATAAGGCAACTTTGCCAGACCCCAACAGGACATTGATTAAGATCTCAATAGAATTTGAGCAGAACTTCAGAAGAACAATGAGGTAACTTTTCTGTTTGGATGAGATGATAAGCAAGAGGCATCTGGTTTGGAAAAGTCGAACGCACATACCGGACAAGGGTGACACTGACTTGTCCTTCCAGCAAATGGAGCATGACAAATTGTGGCATACAATTGATTGGTGCTAGAGATGATACAGAAAAAAAAGGATCACGGAGGGGGTGGCGGCGATATGTACATGATATTGTGTCTCATGTCGCCAGGGTATGTGTAATTGTGAACATGTGTGTGTGTGCGCACGCACATGTTCGTGTATGCAATTCATGTATGTCATGTCCGTCATGTATGTCATGCATGTCCTGGGTGTTCTTGTATGTTATGTATGTTATGCTTGTTGTGTATCTTACGTCGGTTTTGTCTGTGTGCTATGTATGTTGTGTATGTTCTGAGTGTCATGTATGCTACGCATGTTGTGTTCTGGCATGTTGTGATGCTATGCTGCTTGCATATGTATGTGTTGTGTATGTGTATGTGTTTGTAGATGTGTGTGTGTGTGTGTGTCATGCATGTATGCGTGCATTTACAGAGATTCATGCGGCCTTCAAGGCCCTTGACTTGTGGGCAAACAAATCGTCGAGTTCATCTGTCTGAGCGGCCAAAGACATCCGGCGGCACTTGCTCAGCCTCAGCTAGCAGATTTGAGCTGAACCTCGATCACTTCCGAAACATGTCCCTGCCTTGTTTGTTCTGTGAGCCTCGCATGTGTGCTGGCGCAATCCCTGAAATGGACACGTGCCAAAATCGTGTGTGAACTAAACCAGGAACTGGGGACAGATGTGTTGGGAGCAGGTCATCATAATGCATCAAGCCAAGCAGTCAAGCTCAGCCAAAGACCAAATCAATCACAGCGCACACCAAACGACAAGTTCGGGAGGCTCAAAGACGAGGCTCGCAGGAGGGAGAAGGTGGATGCGATATCAAACGGCCAGCAAACCCTGCTTGGAATATCATCAGCTCAGAAATAGTTTGATTAACCCTTCTGGGACCATTACTATGGATCAAATTGGGGAAACCCAAAGACTAAAAGGTCAATTCTTTGGACAAGTTGTTTGGCTTCACAAGAAGTACATAGTCCAAAAAACCGGGCAAAGGCCATGGAATACCGAGGCCAGAAAATAATCCGGCTGTGAGTTCCAGCCAAGCCACCAATTCAAAGCTAAAGTTGGCAATTCCAGCATCAAAGGAGACCATTGAAACAAAATCAAGCCGGAACTATGCAAAATTCAACTCCAAGCAAAAGCTACCTTTCCACCATCAAAAAATCAACAATCTGCAAACAAATCCAAAGAAGCAAGGATAGCAAAGTTGGACAATGTGATTGGCGTCCTCCCGGTGAGTCGACTTGTCCCAATGCATGTCGCATCTGTTGTGCTATACCCTGGTTGAGAGCTGCGGTTTTTGGGCCACGGGGCGTTTCCTGGCGATGCTCTTCCTGGGTGACAGATCTAGCCTTGGCAGTCTTCTTCAATTCCTGCGTGACGACGCCATCGGTGTCGTTCAGTGGGGTGTCGTTCAGTGGAAGGTTGACAACCTCAATAAGCATCGGCGTGCCACGAACCACAAAAGCCAGACGGCTTTTGCGGGGGGAAATGAAGACGTTGAAACCTCAACCAATGCCTAAGGCTGTCGAGATTCAAAGTAGATGACACAAACTCTAACCCTTTTGAGCCCAGTGATTCAGTTTAACCCTTCCACCTAACCACATGGAGCCTGACAGGGGGGTTCCCCCCTTTCAAGTTCCGGCTGTGAATTGGTGGGACTTTGCCAGGGAATTGCGCCATTTACTTTCACCGCAACTATAGGCGGTCGTTGAGCCGTAGGATCCCTGTGTCTTGCTGCCAGCGCTCGACCCTGCTTCCATTTGCGAATACGTTCACTGAAAAAGTCCAGTAGTAAAATGAAACATGTCGTTTCAGCAAATAAAATATTGGAATATGCAAAGGAAGCGACAGCCTGTTCCTTGTTGCAGAGTTCAAATTCACTGAAGGCAACAACACATGTGAGTGTACATCTTGCAAGTGAACCACGTGGCCCGCAGCACGCAATTCGCGGTCTAGTATTCCAAATCGAACCAAACACGATGCTTGACAAAGACGGTTCCTTTTAGCTGTTAGCATGATGTCGTGGATTCCATGTTGCTCTGAAGGGTTGTGAGTTGGTGGCTTACAAACTGCCGGATGATTCGCTGCGCGTTTGCACCCAGGTGTTCTCTCCATGTCCTCCTGGTTCACAAACCCGTGGCTAACCTTAACCAACCTTACGTAACATTTCGGCTAAGCCAGTAACAAATGCAGTGACACCGACTTGGGGAAGGCCTGGGAACCGTTTTTGGGTTGCAGTACAGGGACACCACGCAGCCGGCGCCCCAACTGCCAGTTCTTGTCAGACATGTTTCAGTGCTTCTTCGGTTCTTAACCTAGTTCTTCATTTGCATAGTGGTCATGTGTTCACTGGCAGTTTCCGCTTTTTTTCCAGCTCTTATTCCCTTGTTCAACTTTCATTCAGGTTCTTGTTGCAGTTCTTATTCTAGTTCCAACATACCTTCTCCCACGTTTCTAGTTTGTTGACGCATCACGAAAGCAAAAAACACGGTTGCTATTTCATCGTGTGTTTTGAATCGACTCACAGAAAGCTTGGTTCTCGTGGCCCCCGCAAACACGCGAATAAGAACTGGAATCAGAACTAGAATGATTAGGACTGAAACATGAGAACAACAACTGACAAAGATGCAACAGCCACTTCGGTATCTGGCTGGCACCTCTAAGGCTGCAGGCGACACCTATGAGGCATAGTCAAGCTCTCGAAGCGTTGACCAATGAAGATGTAAGCTACCCTTGAAGACAAATCCAAGTGATCAGAGAAATCCCTTTGAAGGACTTCCCCCCAGCCCAGTGCTACCTTGTCTTGTCGAGAAAAGCCCAAAAAGCCCATTTGCCCTTGTCTGCTCCGCGAGAGTCATATTTCCTTGAGAATGGAATTGGACTCTGAGGGTCTTTGTACTACACCCTGGGATTGCACCCTTGGAAAATGACCCGGAATGGTTCAAAATAACACGGTTTTATCCGGACATGTGCTTAAATGGGGTCAATACCCAGTGGGTGTATTCCAGGGTGTAATACAAACAACCTTAGATGGACGAGTTTTGGGAAGGGGCCCTCTTTCCGGGGCTCAGATTTCCCGCGATGGTTGACGTGTTTCTCAACCTCTAGATGGCAGTTGACCTTCGCAGCGCATTTGTTGGGGGGCGTGCTCACAAAAGTCTCCAATAAAAGAACCTTGCGGACGACTCCCATATATACATATGTATAAATATACATATATATATATATATGTTGGTATATACCATATCTGTATATGCGACATATTTTCTATACGCATGACTGAACTTAGGCCTGGTCTAGGATCTGGAAATATTGTTTCTCATACTAGACAATCGTCATTTCGATGAAGCAATGGGAACACCGCGTTAAAACCCCCTCCCCCCAGGTTGAGTAATACTGGGTGTCCCATGTTTGAAGGGGGGGTTATCCTTTTTGAAGGGCCACCCCCCCCTGGTTAGCACTGGTTTATGAAACCGGGGTCAACAACAAGTATCCTGACTCTGCCAACCGTCTGGACCCAGGCTAGGCATCTTCAACCAACCAATCCAGGAACCCCGCTTTCGGTTGCACGACATGACATGTGCTTCGAGTCTCATTGGGAATCGCAATCCTACTAAAAGTTGATGTAGAAGCAATTCTACTAAAAGTTGATGTAGAAGCCAAGCAAGGGATTGGCAGCCTCGAAACAGAATGCTTCAGCGCGGGCACTCACCACTTAGCAATGACTCCCAACGGGAAACCACAACCCAGTTCTGCAACGCCTGAAGTGCCGCTTGGCCTTAGGACTCAAGCCTTGAAATGGGTCATGAAGTAAATGGAGGATGCCTAGGATCTGTCCCTGAAAGCATCTTACCCCGCCAAATCTGCTCCGCGCCTGCGCCACTCTTGACGCTTTGGACAACTTGGACGACTGCCGCCTGAAACTGGCCACGTGCCTGAGGATTCGTCGCAGCTGGACGATTCTGCGGAGGGAGCTCCGAAGCGTTCCAAAATCTTGGCCACCCACTCCTTTGTCTACAGTCCACTCAGCGTTGCGAATCCAAACATTTAAGAAGTCGGCAGGCCTTTTGACGTTCAAACAGGATGCGGGTGTCGTAAATACAATTGGAACAGAAACTGTAATGCAGTAAAACACAGAAAGCCAGCCAGGCTGGCGACACAGTGCTTGTTTGGACATACCCTTATCAAAGCCCGTGGTAGGCTTGTTTATCACAGGCAAAGCGCCGACTTGCCGGGTCCGAAGAAAGGCCAATGGCAACTTGTGTTCAAACCACAGGTACCTTCCCCTCCCTGTCGCATGGCACCTCACGGGCGTCCGTGGTATGTTAGTGGGAGGGAGGGTAGGTCATATTCATTTGGAATTTCCACCCTGGGATTTGGGTTTCTGTCTCGTGTGGTTTATCCTCCCTCGGCAGGGGCTTCTTCAGCTATGTAAGTTCCCAGGTACCCTCTAATCCGTCCATCAATCCAGCTCCATCCAGCTCCATCCTTCTCCTTCCAGCTCCATCCATCTCCATCCATCTCCATCCATGTCCATTCACTTCCATTCACTTCCACCATCTCCATCAATCTCCATCCATTTCCATCCTTGTCCATTTCCATCCATCTCCATGCATCTCCATCCATCCCCATTCATGTCCATCCATCTCCATCCATGTCCATCCAGCTCCATCCATCTCCATCCAGCTCCATCCATCTCCATCCATCTCCATTCAGGTCCATCCCATGTCCATTCACTTCCACCATCTCCATCAATCTCCATCCATTTCCATCCTTGTCCATTTCCATCCATCTCCATGCATCTCCATCCATCCCCATTCATGTCCATCCATCTCCATCCATGTCCATCCATGTCCATCCATGTCCATCCATGTGAATCCATCTCCATCCATGTCCATCCAGCTCCATCCATCTCCATCCGGCTCCATCCATCTCCATCCATCTCCATTCAGGTCCATCCATGTCCATTCACTTCCACCATCTCCATCAATCTCCATCCATTTCCATCCTTGTCCATTTCCATCCATCTCCATGCATCTCCATTCATCCCCATTCATGTCCATCCATCTCCATCCATGTTCATCCATGTCCATCCATGTCCATCCATGTCCTTTTTCCATCCATCTCCATTCATCTCCATCCATGTCCATTCACTTCCACCATCTCCATCAATCTGCATCCATGTCCATCCTTGTCCATTTCCATCCATCTCCATCCATCTCCATGCATCTCCATCCATCCCCATTCATGTCCATCCATCTCCATCCATGTCCATCCATGTCCATCCATGTCCTTTTTCCATCCATCTCCATTCATCTCCATCCATGTCCATTCACGTCCACCATCTCCATCAATCTCCATCCATCCTTGTCCATTTCCATCCCATGTCCATCCATCCCCATTCATGTCCATCCATCTCCATCCATGTCCATCCATGTCCATCCATGTCCTTTTTCCATCCATCTCCATTCATCTCCATCCATGTCCATTCACTTCCACCATCTCCATCAATCTCCATCCATTTCCATCCTTGTCCATTTCCATCCATCTCCATGCATCTCCATCCATCCCCATTCATGTCCATCCATCTCCATCCATGTCCATCCATGTCCATCCATGTCCTTTTTCCATCCATCTCCATTCATCTCCATCCATGTCCATTCACTTCCACCATCTCCATCAATCTCCATCCATTTCCATCCTTGTCCATTTCCATCCATCTCCATGCATCTCCATCCATCCCCATTCATGTCCATCCATCTCCATCCATGTCCATCCATGTCCATCCGTGTCCATCCATGTCCTTTTTCCATCCATCTCCATTCATCTCCATCCATGTCCATTCACTTCCACCATCTCCATCAATCTCCATCCATGTCCATCCTTGTCCATTTCCATCCATCTCCATCCATCTCCATGCATCTCCATCCATCCCCATTCATGTCCATCCATCTCCATCCATGTCCATCCATATCCATCCATGTCCATCCATGTCCTTTTTCCATCCATCTCCATTCATCTCCATCCATGTCCATTCACTTCCACCATCTCTCTCAATCTCCATCCATTTCCATCCTTGTCCATTTCCATCCATCTCCATGCATCTCCATCCATCCCCATTCATGTCCATGCATCTCCATCCATCTCCATCCATGTCCATCCATGTCCATCCATGTCCATCCATTTCCTTTTTCCATCCATCTCCATTCATCTCCATCCATGTCCATTCACTTCCACCATCTCCATCAATCTCCATCCATTTCCATCCGTGTCCATGTCCATCCATCTCCATCCATCTCCATCCATCTCCATTCATGTCCATCCATGTCCATCCATGTCCATTCATGTCCAACCATGTTTATTTATTTCCTTTTTCCATCCATCTCCATTCATCTCCATCCATGTCCATCCACTTCCACCATCCCCATCAATCTCAATCCATTTCCATCCGTGTCCAAGTGCATCCATCTCCATCCATCTCCATCCATCTCCATTCATGTCCATCCATCTCCATCCATGTCCATCCATGTCCAACCATGTCCATCCATTTCCTTTTTCCATCCATCTCCATTCATCTCCATCCATGTCCATTCACTTCCACCATCTCCATCAACCTCCATCCATTTCCATCCGTGTCCATGTCCATCCATCTCCATCCATCTCCATCCATCTCCATTCATGTCCATCCATGTCCATCCATGTCCATCCATGTCCAACCATGTCCATCCATTTCCTTTTTCCATCCATCTCCATTCATCTCCATCCATGTCCATTCACTTCCACCATCTCCATCAATCTCCATCCATTTCCATCCGTGTCCATTTCCATCCATCTCCATGCATCTCCATCCATGTCCATTCATTTCCACCATCTCCATCAATCTCTATCAATTTTCATCCATGTCCATCCATCCATTCATCCATCCATCCATCCATCCATCCATCCGTCCATGCATGCATGCATGCATGCATCCATCCATGTCGTACTTGTTGTGGGGTCCACGTTTCCTGAACACTGGGAGTGCTACTCAACTCTCTTTCGACAGCACAACATAAGGAATCCCCATCATCTTCTCCGGTGAGCTGGTTTTATTTTCCGGGCACCTTTCAACTTGACAAGCAACGAGGTGTTTGTCTTACCGAATTACCGGGGCACCTTCCAACGAGAAACAGGGTGTGGGTGTTTGAAATTGAACCAATTTGCCCGGCCTGGACTCCCTGGATGTCGACCTAGACTTGTGTCGCCGATCCACGCGAGTCCTCGCTGGCGTGGCTCCAAACTATGGTTGAATTGCGTGATATCAGTGACATGCACTGAAGACGTCTATGTTGTCATTCCACAAAAAGCCCCTTTGATGGTCTTCAGAATTCAAAAACCACACAAGCACATAATCACAAAGGGGAAGGCCTTTTCTTTGCTGAACACCAAGTTTCGCTTCACACCAGCAAGGACACCGGGGCCCCCCACACCCACCTGGGGGCAAAATCAGAGAAAACAAAAAACAGGGAACCAAAACACATTGCACAGGAACAGAAAGAGTGGAAAAGAAAAAGCAAATGACACCCAGAAAGCACGGAAACACGCGCCCAGGTTGATTTAGAGGAATGTTGGGGTTGCTTGAGCTGAGTTTTGCTTCAGTGCTGGTTTGGGTTCCAGGTTGAAGTCTGTTCGGGCAGTCCTGGAGGGGGCCGCAGCCCCCTCCCATCATAAATGAGGACGCCAATGGACGGTTAGCTTCGTGTTTAGGGTGGGCCTTGGGTTGGTCTAGAGTGGGTTTAGGGTGGGTTTGGGGTTGGTTGGTTGGCTTGAGGTTGGTTTATTGTCAATTCAGGGCCGGTTCGGGGTTGGTTGGTGGTAGGTTTTGGCTAGTTCAGGCTGGGGGCGGAATGGTTTACGGTTGGTTTGAGGTCGGTTTATGTGGGTTTATGATTTGCTCCGGGTTGGTTTAGAGCTGGCTTAAGTTTGCTTAGGGTTGGTTTAGGGCTTAGGGTTGGTTTAGGGCCGGCCAGGGGCGTGGTGGGGGGAGGGGCGGGGGGCAGCCCCGACCAAACAAAAGGCACCAATGGAATAACTAGGCTTAGGTTGGTTTTGGGGTGGTTGCGACAGCAACCGAACCCCAATCGACCAACTGAGTGACCGACTGGCAGCTGCGGGGAGCCAGTGCGACAAACGCACATAACACACAATCATCCACGTGCACACGCACAAAAAACACACGCACGCCACCGCCCCACACACACACACACACACGCGCAAATTCATCAGCTAGCCTCAAATCGGTGGTTGGGATTGGTGGTTCAGAGGTTAGGGCTGGCTTTCCCTTTTACCCCCTACAACAACCATCAGTTCATATCCCCAAGCTGCCAATCTAAACCACTAATGAAGGGTTACCTACCTAAAATTGAAACAACATAGGGCAAACAAAACGAACAACACACACCTGCAAGCAACCAAACAGCAAACAAACAAACAAACAAACAAACAAACAAACAAACACGCAAGCAAGCAAGCAAGCAAGCAAGCAAGCAAGCAAGCAAGCAAGCAAGCAAGCAAGCAAGCAAGCAAGCAAGCAAGCAAGCAAGCAAGCAAGCAAGCAAGCAAGCAAGCAAGCAAGCAAGCAAGCAAGCAAGCAAGCAAGCAAGCAAGCAAGCAAGCAAGCAAGCAAGCAAGCAAGCAAGCAAGCAAGCAAGCAAGCAAGCAAGCAAGCAAGCAAGCAAGCAAGCACGCAAGCACGCAAGCACATGCAAGCAAGCAAGCAAGCAAGCAAGCAAGCAAGCAAGCAAGCAAGCAAGCAAGCAAGCAAGCAAGCAAGCAAGCAAGCAAGCAAGCAAGCAAGCAAGCAAGCAAGCAAGCAAGCAAGCAAGCAAGCAAGCAAGCAAGCAAGCAAGCAAGCAAGCAAGCAAGCAAGCAAGCAAGCAAGCAAGCAAGCAAGCAAGCAAGCAAGCAAGCAAGCAAGCAGACAAAGACTAAGTCAAACGCAAACCATTCGGCGCCCCGGGCGGGTCAAGCCAAGAGTATTATGGATGTTTTGGTCCTAAAGATCTGCTTCGCCGTCTGCATCTCCAGCTCTTCCATCATGCCCCACTGGGTGAACTGGCCCAGCGCGGGGGACTTCCGCGCTGTCAGGCTGTCCCTAGCAAGAGGCAAGGTCAGCCAGAAATCGGCGAGGTAGGGAACTATGCCATCGTGTCAACAAAAAATGATGAACCATGGTCTCCCCAGACAAACTGATCACTGCAGACTAGTGCGAGTGACCCAGTGGGTATCTTTGCCTAACAAACGTCATATAGGTGTGTCTCAAATATGTTCTCCCAGATCATCCGTAGCACCCTTTGGGGAAGTCCAACGGAAAACCCTACAGAGGAGCCATGACCAAGTGAATATATCAGGGAACATTTCGGCCTTCCAGTGTTCAATGTCTAGTTATTCACTGATATTCCCCAGTCTCGTAACCATGACCTTCTTTCCACAATCCTACTCAAAGGACAAACAGGCATGGTTTGCGGGGAAACACCGGCCATGGCCAGCGGGATATTCTTCGCACGTTCCCACTACACAGTCCGCAGCCACAGTTCTTTGACATTCAACGTGGGCACAACACCAATGAATTAGATCAGTGGCTCCAACATGAATTGGGCCTAACCACCAATCGTCGTAGCGGTTCACTGGCCAACCATGGCAGGAGTTTGGGGTCGCATTGCGCAGACTCCAAGTGGCTCATAAGCTCCGCTGCTGCAGATTTTCCGCACTCCCGAAACTGCGGGCGCGCTTGATCGCCGGCCTGCCGAGAAAAAAAACAAACAAACAAAAACACGAACCCGGCACCGCACATGTCGCCACACCGATCTGAATCAGAACTCACCGGCCAACAAGACAACCCGGAGAAAGGAGCCACGGGTCACGCTGCGCGGACTCATCGCCCCGGCAATGGACGAAGATGCACGAATCCAGAGCATGCCATTGGCCAAGTCCATGTGCGAATGCAATTCATGAAGTCTGCCATTGGCTTAGCTATGATTCCCTCAAAGATCTGCACATGTTGCCATGCTTACAAAAGCTGAATTGAGGGATCCCCAAGTAAGGAACCTTTATCATGTTGTGCCCGTTTTACCCCCAGTGAGCTCGCCATACAATTGGCAGAATGTGTCCAGCACATTTGCCTGCCATGGGCACGGACAGTACGGAGGACACCAACTTCGAGACTTCGGAGAGGCGGGATGTGCGTCTCTCCGTCGACTCATCCTCCTCATGAAAGGCGCTGAATCCAAAGCAACGTGGATGGGAGTCAAATGGTCGGCAAGACTTGAGCCACAAAACAAAATCCAAGATTTGACACAAATGGTAAGCAAGACTTGACACTTGAAATGGTCAAGCTCTGGAACTTAAAATGGTAGGCAATATTTGGCCCGTAAACGGACTTTCAAGATGTGACCCTTAACATGTTGATTGTTGGCAAGATGTAACCATTGGCAAGATTTGAGTCAGAAAGTTGTTGAAAGGATATGACTCTGACCACCCTTAAACTACCAGTAGTTGGCAATATTTGTCCCTTAGCATGCTTGGCAAGATTTGCGATTTAAAATGGTTGGCAAGATTGGATCCTTCAAGTGGTTGGCAAGCTATGTCCAAGAACAAGGGTCGGCAAGGGTTGACACTTAAAATGGTTGGCAAGATTTGACCCTCGAGATGGTTGGCAAGATTTGGCCCTTCAACCGGTTCGCAACAGTTGTATTGAAATGGTTGGGGGTGTGACTACAAAGAGTGTTGTTTCAAAGTGCCGTTGCAGGGTGCTGACGGCGAGCGAGACTGAGAATGGCGTAGTGTGCTTTTGCAGTGCATTGTTGTAGAGTGCCCTGTTGTCGGAGGGTGTCACAGAATGTTGCCGCGGCCGAAAACTGCACCTCCTGTATGTTATCGAATGTTACTAGCATTGAATGGCAGGCGGCTGGAAGAAAGAAATCCTCAATCACG